CCTTCAGTCTTCAAGTTTTTCCTTATATCCCTTTAACCAGAAGGTTTCACAACATCCCTGACAATTCACAACGTTTCACAACATCCCAGAAGGTAGAAAGCTATCTCCCCAAAAAGTTTTGTTTAATCAGTGAAACTGCTGTGCTGATGTGCCCAATTTTCATAGTGAAAATGAAAAGGGAGGGTGAAGAATAAAGAAAACCAATAATGAATGAAAATAGAATGTAGGTGAAATCAATGAATGAGGTGGTTCTAATCAACTGACCGAGAGTAGTTGTAGGGGTCAACACAGATAAGCAGAACTGATGCTTACTGTTGGCAATCTAAGCCAAAGAGATCGCAGGGACTTTGCCTTCTCCTTGCTCTGTGTTATAAAAAGCTTCAACTCTTTAATCAGATAGACCAGTAGGTCTTTAAATCCTACCTGTCACTAATTAGCTCTGTGACCTTAACAAATGACCCATTTCTGACCCTCTAAAAAACTCAGTATACTTACCTCTGAGGTTGTGTTTGGGATTAAATATTATAACAAAAATGTAACGTTTCTAACAGAGCTTGGACATGGTAAGCACCAAAGCACAGAAAATACTTCTCCTTTTTTCTCAGTGGCTCCTCCATTTCTTACTAGAGCTCAGTACAAAAACAAACTGTTTTATGAATGACCGCTTAGTTCAAGAATGATTATGTTATTCAATTCAACACCTACCCATACCAGTCAATATTCCCAGGGTGATCCCAGATCTAGGGATAATCCGAATCCTTTACCTTTACTTGGAGGCAGTGAATAAACAGAAGTGACTGTCGCCCAAGTTTCTCAGAACTAACAAAAAAACTGGCACTATGAGGGTTTGCCTGGCCTTGTTCAGTCATGTGGTTGTGCCACACTGAAAAGGCTCTTTGGCCCCTTTGGCGAGAATGTGAGACAGTAGGAACCTTCATATACTACAGATGGGGACAACCTCTTAGAAAACAGTTTGACATTAATTACTAAAGCTGAACATACCCTATATATGCTATAACCCAGCTTCCATTTCTAGCTTTGGATTCTGGAGAAACTTTCAAATGTGTTCCAGAAACATTGTATATGATGATGGGAAAAAAAGGAAAAAAAAACTGGAAACACTAACAGCTCTCAGCATTAGAATGAAAAAGTAGTAGTAGACTCATAAATGGAATATTATACAAAAACGAGAATGAACAAGCCACTGCTACACAAAATAATATGGATGAATTTTACAAACATAATGTTAAACAAACAACAAAAATCCAGATACAAAAAAGTAAGTTTCCTGTTACATAAGATTCAAAAATAAAAACTCATTTGTGGTGGTAAAAACCTGAATAATGGTTACTTCTTGTGGTAGGTAGTGACAGGAAGAGGAGCTGCAGAGAGGTGAGTATGCTTTGTATTATCCATAATAAAATGTTTACTTTAAAATACATAGAGTATGATTCCATTTATGTAAATTCAATGGCAGGCAAAATTTCAAATTTTTAGTGACACATATGCAGGTAGTTCACTATTTTTAAAAGGCATGGGAAGGGGCTCCTCGGTGGTGCAGCAGTAGAGCGCTGGGTTGCAAAGCTGCCCGCAGCCTCTGCAGCGCTGGTTCGATCCCCGGCTGCTCCCCGGCCACCAGAGGAGGGTCCCACATGGCACGCAGACCTCTCCTGCCGCCCGCTGCTCCCCTCAGCAGTGTACTTTGGTCCTTCTGCCTGCTCTGCTCCCCGCTCTGACTCTGGTGAATTCTCTCGCCCTCCCGCGCTTCTGACTGTACCCAGTGCTTGTATAAATAAATAAATAAATCTTTAAAAAAAAAAAATAAAAGGCATGGGAAAAGAATGGATGGGGGAGGGAAAGGAGCAATCAGAGGGACAGACATAGAAACAGTTTCTAAACTATTGGTAATGTTCATTTTCTTAATTTGGGAGATGGCTACATGGTGTTCACATTATTATTAAGATTATGAAAAATATGCTCATATTCCACATACACTTCTTTTTTTTTTTTAAATATTTATTTATTTATTTATACAAGCACTGGGTACAGTCAGAAGGGTGGGAGAGTGAGAGAATTCACCAGAGCCAGAGCAGGGAGCGGAACAGACTGACGAAACACACTGCTGAGGGGAGCAGTGGGCGGCAGGAGAGGTCTGTGCGCCATGTGGGACCCTCACCTGGTGGCCGGGGATTGAACCGGCGCTGCAGAGGCTGCAGGCAGCTTTGCAAGCCAGCGCTCAACCGCTGCGCCACCGGGGAGGCCCTCCACATACACTTCTATATGCATGATATACTCCACAATAAATACTTACAATAAACCAACACAAAATGTCACCCTTAAAAGTAAGAGTAGCAGAGTATGGTATAATAACTTTTTAAAAAGATTTATTTATTTATGCATACAAGAACTGGGGTGTAAGCCTGAGGTGTGGAGGGTGAGGATTCACCAGAGACAGAGCAGGGAACAGAACAGAGAGATCCACTGAAATACACTGCTGAGGGGAGCAGCAGACAAGAGAGGAGAAGTCTGCTGTGCCATGTGGGTTGCTCTCTGGCCAGCCAGAACTCGTGCTACAGTGGCTGGAAATAGTTTGATAGTGCTGTCTTTAACCACCCTGTGCCACCAGGTAGGCCCGGGTATAATAACTTTAAAGTTGAAAGAAGCCTTCGAAACAATCTTGTCCAACCATGATAAAGGATTATTAGGGCTTTGGAGGTAGGCATGGTGTGATAACAAACATTTGTGGAGGTGTAAATCTATCTCCCTAAAACATATACAGTTTTGTAAAATCAACTTTGCCTCCATAAACATAACATAAAAAGAGCAACCAACAGAAGCCAGGGAAATGGAGTCTTATTCAAATTGATTCAGTTACAGAGTGTCAGCTAGCTTCTTGTCAAGCACTCCTCCCACAGACTCACCCTGATAAATCTATTTGGTCCTAGTTTCCTTCTATTTTCCAGTAGTCTCTGATCAGCAGGCATCATAAAACACACCTGTTACATCTATTTTTCCTCCTAAATTTGAAATTTTTATTGTGGGAAAAGGAGACCAGGAGAGATAGCCTCTTCTCTACAAATATCCCAGACACTTACAAAACTAATCCAGGGCCTCCCTGGTGGCGCAAGGGGTTAAGTCGCAGAACTATGAAGCTCTCCGCAGCCACTGTAGCACAAGTTCAATCCCCAGCCAGTGAGATACCCACATGGCGCAGCAGACTGCTGCTCCCTCAGCAGTGTATGTATTTCAGGAGATTTGCCTGTTCTTATTCTGTTCCCTACTCTGTCTCTGGTGGATCCTCCCATCGCCCCCCACACTGTTTCTTTGGCCGAACACCCCAGTTCTTATACGCATAAATAAATAAATCTTAAAAAAAAAAAAAAAAAGAAAACCAATCCAAACATCTATTTCTCTACTGCGAGATCTTTTGCTTTGTTGAAACAGATCTCATGTGTCTCTGTACCCCACAATCTAGCTGCCCCAACATGCAGGCTGACTTTTTAGGCCTCGGAGGAATAAAGGAAAAGGGAAGAGTCTGAGGGTTGATAAAAGAAAATTCTTTCCCTTAATCTTTGTCCAAGCACAAGGTCCCTCTTGGGAAGAGTGCGCTCTTCTGCCACCTTGTGACAAAGAATGAGAACAAGCCCTCAGATCCGGGCCTGCCCCTGCCCCACGGTGGCAGCACTGTCACATATGGCATCTAGGAATTAATCTATAAAGAACTTCCAATCAATTGATGGGGAGGGGGGAGAATGCCTGATAGCATACAGGAACAAAGGATCACATAATCATATTAAGAAAACCATAAACCAAACCCCCAGAGGACACGCAGTCCCTTTATTCTGCCCACCCACCTGTCCTGCTGAGAGAATCCAGCTGCCGCAGGAGAAAGGAAGGCAATGGTGTGGCACCGGACCAATGAAGGTTTGAGACATCCATGTTCCCTCCACTCCATTGCCTCATTTCTCTGCCTCATTTTCCTTCTATAGCAAAATATCTTGAAAATGTATCTATACTTTTGTCACCTCCAATTCCCTCTCAAGCCTCTGTTACTTCTGCTACTCATCTGGACCTGCTCTTTTAAAATTGTCGAATCCAGTGGACATTCTGTGCTTATTATATACAAGAAAGGATAAAGGGAGTGTGAGTAAACTGGGATAAAGGGGACAATTTTATGATAAAACATAGAATTAAAACATACACACACACACACACACACACACACACACACACATACTCTTTATTAAAAGTATTATCTGTCCAGGAAAACCTTCCCAAATTGCAGAAAGCATCACTCATCTGGTGTATTTAGCTCTTCTTCACGACCTCTCAGCCTAATAGTTCTGGGAATGTCGTCTACCTATACACAGGAATATGAAAATGTGCAAAACAAGATGTGTATATCTATGCTAATGTGAGCTTATGCGTATGACTATAAATGGATTCTAGAGACCATTTGGTTTGAACACTCCATTTACAAAAGAGAAAATTAAGATCCAGAGAAGTTAGGCAATTTTCTAAGTGTTATAGCTAATAAGAGGGTCTGTACAAGATGCTGATTCTATTGATTCCTAGTCCGGGTCTTTCTTCAGTGCAACTTACTGACTCAGTCTCTTCATGCTGGTGGATAAATCCATATGCCTGCATCAATGAGCATACGTGCTCATGTCCACGTATCTTAAGTATTTATGAAGTATATCACTGGATATGTATGCCCTTTCTTCTGGGGAAACCTTTAGGTAATTACAGTCCTGATGTCGGCACCAGCAGTGAAGGCAGAAGACAATGAGTCAATTATTAACGAGTAGACTTGGTCCTCTCTCCAATCAGTTCTATTCCTGGGTCTTCAGGAAACAGGGCAAAATAATTACAGTAGAACCAGATTCTCCTAAGGTCCAACTTAGTTCCAAGGCAGTGAAAGCAGCTGAAGACGAGCCTGAAAAGGGCCTTGACAGACTAGCAGCATACAGACTCTGCAAGGAGCATGGGCTCAAGCTAACATGGATACCATTTTGGTTTTCAGCCTAATCATTGCAACTTACAATACCAATAATAAAGGTAAGTACTTCTTGGGGCATCTCTGGTGGCCTAGGGGTTAAGTCTACCACCGTGAAGACCCACTGCGATAGCCTGAATATGATCCCCAGCCAGGGAGATGACCCTCATGTGGCACAGCTGACCTCTCCTGTCTTGCCTGCTGCTCCTCTCAGCAATGTATTTCAGTAGATCTGCCTCTTCTGCTCGCCACTCTGTCTCTGGTGAATGGTCTCATCCCCAGCACCTCTGGCCCGCACCCAGTTCTATGCAGAAATAAATAAATAAAATCTTTTTAAAAATAAAGGTAAGTACTTCTCTAGCCTAATATCCTGGAAAATCTGAAGAGCGCCTAGAAAGTGTTTGGCGGTCTATTCACCAGACAGCAACATAACCAATAGACAGTATGTGATGCTTTTCAGTCATCTCACGTATCCTGTTGCCTTTAATCAGGAAGCTTATTCAATTCAGAGTTAAAACTGCTTCATGCAGAGAAGTCTTCAGAAAAGGTGCTGCATTCTTTTATCTTATTCATGTAACTAATCCTAAAAGTCTTTCACTAGCAGATGGCTCTCTCTACTGGATGGTGCTGTTGCACTGTCAGTATTGTCAACACCAAAGGCTTTCAGTTCATAACCCTTCCGAAGACGCTGTCTTCCTTTTTAATAGTTGTAGATTCAAATAGACAGGGACACTCTTTTGTGGGGGGAGCTGAGGGAAAGGGTGCCATGGGGGTGGATTCACACCATTACCATCTTTGGTAAAGTCATATTTGTTTAAAACATGATTTTTTCAAAGTGTCTTAAACTTTTTTTTAAAGATTTATTTATTTATGCATACATGAGCTGGGGTACAGGCCAGAGGTGCCAGGGGTGAGAGGATTCACCAGAGACAGAGTGGGGAACAAACAGGCAGACTGACTGAAATACACTGCTGAGGGGAGCAGCGGGCGAGACAGGAGAGGTCTGTTGCACCATGTGGGTTGCTCCCTGGACGGCCGGGGATCGAACTCGTGCTGCAGAGGCTGCGTATTGCTTCATGGTGCGGTGCTTAATCCCTTGTGCCACCAGGGCGGCCCTGTCCTAAACTTTTTAATATCTAAAATTAGAGGTAAGGCCAAAAAGACAAGGTTGTTAAGTAAAAAACTTAACAGATGAAGAAAACTCTCCTGTGAGTTATGTCCCAAAAAACATAAATATGACCTATGTTTCCACTGAAATCTACAGCAACAACACAAGGTTCCAATTAATAGAATTTCAAAAATTTTCATACAAGTACATGGGTAGAACGGGAGGGAAAAGATATGATAAGCAGTGTTTGAAGGAATGAGTTGGTTAGCCTTTCATTAATTAAGTTAATGTGACTTAAATTAAGTTTTTTTATACTAGGCTAACTCCTACATCTATGATTTTTAAAGTCTTCTGGGAAGTGTTTGATCTCCCCAATGGCAAGGTTTTTTTTTTAAAGATTTATTTATTTATGCATACAAGAGCTGGGGTATAGGCCAGATGCAGGGGGTGAGAGGCCAGAGACAGAGTGGGGAACAGAACAGGCAGATTGACCGAAGCACAATGCTGAGGGGAGCAGCAGGTGAGTTAGGAGAGTCAGGAGAGGTCTGGTGTGCCATGTGGGTATCTCCCTGGCCAGCCTGGGATCGAACTTGTGCTGCAGAGGCTGCAGCCAGCTCCATAGGTTGCCGCTTAACCCCTTGCGCCACCAGGGAAGCCCCACAATGGCAAGATTATGAGAAGGAACTGCGTTCCTTTGAATCTCCATGTCTGGTGATCAGAATTCTAAAGAGCTAATACCCAGTAAATCCGACCTTTTTTTCCTACCTACCCCCCCTCCCCCCCCAGAACTCAGAAATAGCAGCAGCTGCTACGTGGAACTATTACCTGGACTCTCCCCAAAGGATGTGAAAAGCACCAGGAATGTGCTAATACAAGGTATGCCATTCCAGAAAATTTTTACCTTTGAGAGATACCTATCTTTTCCTAGCCTACATCTCAAATATGCTATTTTAAACATGTATCTCTCTCCAAGAGTCTTTCTAGAAACCAATTTTTGAATAAACTGCTATTACTTAAGGCATGGCTATAAAAGCCAAGCATACAGGGATGAAGAAAGAGACAAAGGGCATACCCAACTGTCTCTGCACTTATAAAACAATCTGTCAGCATTTCTTAGGCTGAATTTACTGCAGTTACCGATCTTCATGGCACCCACGGCAGGAAGGAGGAAAGGCAGGGTTTGTATGTTGAGTACCATAAACACATGCTGAGGAAGAAGTGGACTAAAAAGAGAAGAAAGTGCAGCGGTGGGTTTAACAGGGGTCGTGAATGGAAGTGGTTTAGTGGGGCACCATTCAGATTAAGAGCCAACTTCATTTTTCTGTCTGGCTTTTCTCCTTTCAGAAGTTCAGGCAGAAGCCAAAAAGTCTACATTCATCCAAAACTGGACAGTGGCTCCCCTGCAGTGCCTTGGTTCTGGGAGCAAAGTGAAAGTCAACCTTGTCTATTCGGAGAAAAGGCCAAAGGTCAAGCCTACCCTGCAGAACCTAAGAATCATTGCTGTTCCCCACAGAAACAGCACCAACTCCTCAAGCTGTCACCTCACCCCCACATTCACCACCTTGTGGACAGGATCCCTTCTAACAGGCAAAGGTGAGATTGGTAAATGAGATGGAGGTAAGCACTAGTGTCTAGTCGACATTCAGAAAAGCATGTAGAACTCAGGGGCAGCTATAGTCTCTAGGAAATCGATGGCTCTAGGATAAACCATATCCTCTCTGAGACTCAGAATCTCTGTGGGTCTGTCTAGCCCTGACATGCTGTGATTTTCACCTGATCTCCAGTTTTAATGGGTCTTCTTTTGAAAAGAATTATTTGGATCTTTTTTACCTCAAACACACAGAGCAAAATATTCAAATAGCACAAATTTACAGTGAAAAGCCAGCCTCCCTCCTATTTCAAACTCTCAACTCTCCAGTTCTCTACCCCTGAAGAAACCATTATTATCAACGTATTGAATTTCCTTACAGAGATACTGTAAACATGTATGGATGCATTTATTTTAAAAACAAACAGTGGTATACAAACCTACTCTCTACTACCTTGCTTTTTCCCCACATAACAATGCTTCTTTTTTTAAAATATATTTTACATCATTCTTCCTTTTTGTACAATGCACGCTTTCTCTTTTCAGGTGTAGTCCCTGCAAAATTCCCATCACCAATTCACCTGTGCACCAAAACCATAGTCCCTTGTGTAAGAACACATTTCCTCCCCTGTTTTGATCCCTCCCCCACCCCTACAGAGTGTCTATGATTAATAGTTGCCTGTTATTTTTGGTTTTTGATTCATTATAATTATTTTTTTCCTGGTCCCTTATTTGGTTCCCCTACATTCCTCCAATGAGGAAACCATCCAGTATTTTTCTTTTTCCTTCTGGCTTATTCCACTGAGCATAATCCCTTCCAGCTCCATCCACGTTGCTGTGAATGGCATGAGTTTATCTTTCTTGATTGCTGAATAGCATTCCTTTGTGTAAATATACCACATCTTCTTGATCCAGTCATCTATTTGCGGGCATTTGGGTTGTTTCCATATCCTCCCTATTGTAAATAGTGCTGCAATGAACATAGGGGTGCAGGTATCCTTTTGAATTAACCATATCACAATGTTTCTTAGCAGTTGTTCTATGTGGATATGTATAAATTTATCTCATTTCTTTCTAACAGTTGTATAGTATTCCATTGCATGGCTGAACTGTACTTTTTTTTTTTAATTAATTAATTAATTAATTATTTGTTTGTTTTGTTTATACATGCACTGGGTACAGTCAGAAGCGCGGGAGGGTGAGAGAATTCACCAGAGCCAGAGCGGGGAGCAGAGCAGGCAGAAGGACCGAAGTACACTGCTGAGGGGAGCAGCGGGCGGCAGGAGAGGTCTGCGCGCCATGTGGGACCCTCCTCTGGTGGCAGGGGAGCAGCTGGGGATCGAGCCGGCGCCGCAGAGGCCGCAGGCAGCTTCGCAACCCAGCGCTCAACCGCTGCGCCACCGGGGAGGCCCATGGCTGAACTGTACTTTACTCCACCACTACCCTATTGATGGATATTTTGGTTGTTTCCAACCTTTTCCACATAGAAATAGTGCTGCAAGCAAAAACCTTAAACATTCTTCTTTTTGCACCTACAATGTATCAATAGAATAAATTCTAAAGATGCAGGACTGCTACATCAAAAGTTTGATAGATATTGCTTATTACTCTCCATAGTGGTTGTTCCATTTTGCACTCCCACCCACACAGTGAGAATGCTGTTCTCCTACAGTTGGTGGCCAGTGGCTCTTGACTCAGCCTTAACTCTCTGTGCCTCTGCCCTCCCATGCTTCTCCAACCCATTTTTTCTGTGAAGTAATCTGTGATCAGTAAATTAGTATTAGCAGTTCCCTGTTCCAAACAGGCTATCACCTAGATGCTACTGCAGCATTGCTGGAAAAATAAAACTGGACACTTTGGGGTTCATAAGCAAAATGGGAAAAAAACTTTAAAAACTACATTATGTTTGGAGGACTAGAGCTTGGGAGATAAGTAGTAGGTTCTGGGAGGTGGCTCAGGTAGAGTAATTTGTATACCCTCACAGGATATGAATGTTTTCACATGGTGATAATTTATGAGGGGCAAAAAAGCTATTAGAAACGTAGATGCCTCTGGGCCTCCCTGGTGGTGCAAGGGGTTAAGCACTACGAAGCAATCCGCAGCCTCTGCAGCACGAGTTGGATCCCCAGCTGACCAGGGAGCAACCCAAATGGCAAAGCAGACCTCTCCTATCTCTCACCCGCTGCTCCCTTTAGCAGTGTATTTCAGTCAGTCTGCCTGTTCTGCTCCCCACTCTGTCTCTGGTGAATCCTCTCACCCCCTGCATCTCTGGCCTGTACCCCAGCTCTTGTATACATAAATAAATCAATCTTAAAAAAAAGAGGGCCTCCCCAGTGGCACAGCAGGTTGAGTGCCATGCTGTGAAGCTGTCCGCAGCCTCTGCATTGCGGGTTCAATTCCTGGCCAGCCAGCGAGATTCCCACGTCGGGCCCGCTGCTCCCCTCAGCCGTGCTTTCAGTCTCTCTGCCTGTTCTGCTCCCCACTCTGTCGCTGGTGAATCCTCTCACCCTCCCGCACCTCTGGCCTATACCCCAGCTATTGTATAAATAAAAAATCAATCTTTAAAACAAACAAACAAAAAAAAGAAACTTAGATGCCTCTGACAGGGTTTGGGAGCTTTTAGTCACCCTATATTAATGTAAATTAAGTCACTCAGATTGTTTTTCTTCAAGCAAGTGACACCCCCCTTTAATCAATGGCAGTTATGACAGGGACTGATGAACTTAAGCCATTTTGGAGTTTGGCGCATTCTGTGCTGGGAGGATCTACCTTGGAAATAGTCTATGCATTGTACACTCTGGGCAATTAAGGATACCAACTCTTACGAGTCTGGGACAAGGAAAACTGGGAGGATAAAGGCAAGGACAGATGTCAAAGATCAATCTGACCTAATTCTGCCTTGAACTAGTCTATTATTCATGGAGGGAGAAGAATTTCTTCCTCCTTTCCTGCTGTTGGATCCCAAATGCAAAATTTAAGCTAGTACTTATACTACTTAAGCTGCTTGAAGAGATTAGTTTGTGGACCTAGTCATCATTCATAATATATTTCAATTATGAATCCAAACAACCAACTTATGAATGGACTTTTGAAATATCACCCAACTATAAGTTTGAAACTGCCTATTGTGAATTAAACCCACATTGAGTACCAGGATGTGACGGACTCCAAATAGGGGAACACTAAAAATCAGGTCAACAGTCAAATTTACAAGATTAAATTTTACAAGCACTAAAAATCAGGTCAACAGTCAAATTTACAAGATCATATAAGAGATGTCCTCTGAAGGTACCGCACCATGGATGACATCAGTCTGCACAGGAGGATGACTCAGAAACAGTTAGTTCTATTTCATGGAGATGTCCCAGAGCGAAGTAGGAGTTTGAAACTATAAGGACGAAATTATATTGCAACACAGTTGTTCATCAGACTATGTGGGTTGCTATGGAGTGTAGGAAAAATGGAAGCTGGAGACTGTTATGGTTTATAACAGAAAGAAACAATAAAAGTGCAAGTGAGGAAACTATCCTATCTTTGATTTTCTCCCTGACAAAACTCTAACTCTATGCAGCTGATGTTAAACTTTGTGGCCCAAGGTCAAGGAAATTACCCACTATTATAAATATCCTGAAATATCCCTCACATGGAGAAAGGTGACTCATTAGGCTTTGTCATATGTGACACAGTTCACTCCATCTAGTTCCTACTGCTCAGATGCTACAATAATGAAGAAGCTTTCCAAGTACACATTAAGTTTCACAGTGACCTACTTGTTTAGAACAGGGTGTTTAGAAGAGAAAAATATCCTGTGTACTCCATTTCACAGATATATTTCCCTGTGTCAATATTTTATGTCACAGTAACATATTGATTAGGCTCTCTGGAATTTGATCAGTGTGAACAGATTAGTGTGAATAGACACCTAAGGTCTGGTAACTCCATGTGAAATTGTGGGGTATAGGAGAAATAACATCAAACTAGTGTTTATTCTGATATTACCGCCTTGACAAGTTACTTAATTTCTTCAGTTTCTATAGTCACAAATGAGAGATTTGAAAAGATGATTTCTACACATAAAAAAGTCAAGATTTAGGGCCTCCCTGGCGGTGCAGGGTGAAAGTCTCAGGGCTATCAAGCTATCACCATACACTGTGGCAAGAGTTTGCTATCTGGCCAGGGAGCTAACCCACATGCTGCAGCAGACCTCTCCTGTCCCACTGCTCCCCTCAGCAGTGTACTTCGGTCAATCTGCCTGCTCTGTTCCTCACTCTGTCTCTGGTGAATCCTCTCAACCCCGACACATCTGGCCTGTACCCCAGCTCTTATATGCATAAATAAATAATCTTAAAAAAGAAAAGTCAAAAAGGACTTGAAGATCTTAATTGAATAAGCAATGATAGAAGACCATTAAAAATGGATTAGAAACCACTGTTTGAATTGGATTCCGTCAATTCTGGAGGAAAATGAAGTTGGTGTCAGACCATTGCAGAATCAACTCACATCTCACCACTTCCAGGAGGAACAACATCAGCTCTCACTTGGATTTTTCTTCAATTGCCTCCTAACAGGCTATGCTTCTCCTCTTGTCCCCCTATCGTCTATCTCCAACTCACTAGTCCAGTGATCCTTAAACATCAAAGCCTTACCAGCAATCCTCTGTTTAAAACTTTGCAACAGATTCTCATGTCAATCAGAATAAACACCAACATCCTTAAACTAACCCCCAAGTCCTAAGAGATAGGGGCCCTGTTCTTGCTCGCTCCACCCTGGTCTCACCGCCTCCTTGCTTGTCCTCTGAAACTGACACACTTGACCTCCAGGAGATTCTAGTTGTCCCCTCTGCCCAGGTCTCCACTTCCCCAGGCCTCTGTTGGCTAATACTTTAACCTCCTTCAATTCTTTGCTCTATTCTCACCTCGTGGAAACCAGCCTTGCAGATTGCCCAAGCACAACTTTCCTATCATGCTATTTCCTTACCTTGCTCAACCTTAAATTGTTTTTAGCTACATTTAACCCATCTAACACACCAGAAATTTTAATATACTTAAATTTTAATATACTTTATGCTTCCTCTTGCCCTCCCCCTTTCTCCCCTTTGTTTGTTGCCCTGTTAAAGTGTATCTAACTGATATATGCAAACTATTGAAGGTGTCCTTGGCACATAATACTCATTTTTAATTATTGGCTGAATGAATAAAATTGAGGAATGCATGAAGCTGGGTGGTTTTTCCTTTTTCCAGCTTCCCCTGCACCTCCCAATTCCCTCTCAGAGTAGTTGATTTGGAGTTCACTCAGACTGCACTAGACAAACAGTGCAGTCATTAAGACAAATTATAATAGTGTACACTCCTCCTTGGACTTTGGAATTACCTTTTTTAAAGAAGGAAACTTTCATCCATCCTTATTTTTATTATGGTCTCAACAATGATAGGCTGACAAGATATGGCTTAGTCTTTTACTCTGATCTGGCATTTGTCAAAGGGCCCAGAGGAATTAATCCCTATCTCTTATTAGTATCTCTGTCCTCAATTACTCCTGGGCATGATTTTATGCCCACACCCTAAACCTATGAACAGGTCAACTGGGCCACAAAGTTCAACATCAGCTGGATAGAGTTAGAGTTTTGTCAGGGAGAAAATCAAAGGCAGGATAGTTTCCTCACTTGGCCTTTCATTTTTTCTTTCTTGTTTTGCAGCTTTTTTACCAGGACTCTCCCAATGTAAGGTCTATCCAGTGATGGAGGTTTCACCAAAGAAGTTTTTCATCAGCACCACCTCCATAACTCCCAGAAATAAAGCAGAGAATACTACCAGTATCAATGATTATTATACCAGCACTCCAGAACAAGGCACAGAAATAAATAGGGGTGAGACAAGAACAGAAAGAAAAAGACGCATTTTAGCCCCAACATTAGCCTGGGTCTCTTAAGATTTTCCTAAAGGCTGAAAATTTACAGAGTTTACATTAGAAAATCACTCTATTTCTTATGGGGAAAAAATCTGCTTCTCTTAAAAAAAAAAAAAGTCCCAGAAATGTTTGTATTTTGACACTATTAAAAATCCTTTACCTCCACTGGGCCTCCCTGGTAGCCTATGGGTTAAGTCTCAGTGCTATCACTGCTAAGGCCTGAGTTTGATCCTAGGCCAGGGAGCTGACCCACATGACTCAGCAGATCTCTCCTGTCTCTCCCGCTGCTCCCCTCAGCAGTGTGTTTCAGTAGATCTCCCTGTTCTGCTCCCTACTCTGTCTCTGGTGAATCTTCTCACTCCCTGTACCTCTGGCCTACATTCCAGTTCTTCTATGCAAAAAAGAGAAAGAAATTCTTTACCTCTGTAATGAGTTTACCTTGTAGCCAGATATGGGGACAAAACAAACTATGTGGTAGGTAGGTAAGACCAGCCACTGAAATATTGCCAGATGACATCTAAATACTTGGCTGTCATTACAGGGATGACAACAACCAAGCACGTGCTATTATCAGCGATTTTTAGAAACAGTGCTCCCTAAATTGACCAGGACTCAGATTCTGTAAGCTTCTAGAATGGGTCCTTCCTGAAAAGCAAATAAAAAATTAGTAATAACCAGATGCACAGGAACCATTTGTTAATAATAACTAGATGCTTATCACCCAGAAGCAATGTCATCTCACCTTTGTTATACCTATGCCTTATTCAAGCCAAAAGGATGTGAAAGGTGATTTTCTAATCTCAGATGGTGTCTGTCAGAGCGCAAGGGTGGAGGCCATGAGAAAGGACTACCAGTGAAAGAGGAGTTTAGAGCTCCTTGTTCTTCCACCCTAGGCCCCTCCTGACAACAGTGTCGGAATCTGTTCTACTTGACTATGGTAAATCCCAAATCTCAGAAGAGGTGACTCACTAAAAAGAGGTTGCACAGGAGGCTAGAGCAGAGTCCATACACCCACCCACTCCTGACTCTGAAGTGAAGGTTTAGCGGCTGCTTCTGAGTCAGGCTGGGAGCCCCTGAGTCTTGCAGGCCAGGAACCTTCAAGTCAAATTCTCTTCTCCCTCTTTACTTCTTGCCCTCCTTAGATGAGAACTTAGAGAAGAGGCAGAAGTGGAGCATTGTGGTCAAATTCCTGATTGCTGCCACCCTGCTGCTCAGTGGATTCGCCTTTATGGTGTTTGTCATTTTTGAAGTCCCCTGCCCGGTGAGTGCGCAGATGTGTTGGGTCTTCAGATGATCGATAAAGATCTCCTTTTGCACAGGCAGCTTAGCATTATGAGAAAAGCATAGATTTTGGAGCTTGTAATGTGTTGCTTTGTGGGGCAGCAGCGTTGGGTGTGATGCAGGATGGAGGAAAGACAATTCAAAGTCCAAAGGGAGAGAGAGAGAATGAGAGAGAGAGAGAAAGAGAGAGAGAGAGACCTAGAGGGGCTTACACCTCTGGAGATGCAGCACTTATTTTCCGGGCCAGCACATTTATTGGGGATCAGATTTGGGGAAGGTGGGAAAGTACATGGAGGAATGTGTGTGGTGGGGAAGTGTATTGGGGATGCATAACAGTCTGGCACAAGCTACCAGGGAGTGAATAGGGGCTATTGTCTGTGGGGCTCCAATGTTGCTGCTGATCAAAAACATCCTATCTCTAGTCCCTGTTTATACTTAACTTCCTGTCAAGGTACTCTAGCTGGTTATGCTAATCTGGCCATAATATCTGCCTACTGTTTTCAGCAGATATCCTCATACCAAGAACTTTGTCCTGGGTAGAGGTCCCCTGTCTGACTCTACATTTTAGCTTGATCAGCAGCAACTCTGGGCGCCAAGACAACAAGCGGGGCTGGGGAATCCACAGTATCACACCAACTTTTAGTATATGTGTTACCAAAGTGCGCACACTTTGGCATCTGGACAGATCTGCCGCTCACACTCATTAACTGAGTGACCTTGGGGAAGTTGTCCCACTTCTCCAATCTCAGCTATCTCATCTCTAAAATGTGAATATGTGTCTCTTGTGATAGCATGAAAGTTAATTAAGATCCCTTATGAAAGGCACCCGGCACGTTGGAGAGGCTTGAGCGAAAGCTGAGTTCCTCTTCTGTTACACTTGGACATTGCAATAGGAAGACAGTCCCACAGGACTGCGGGTTTTCTTTAGAAGGAGAGAGGATTTTCTATAAGTGGACTGACGTGATGTTGGGAGGATAATCAAATGCCTGCCAGACACCTGAAGTTGATACCAGTCACTTTCTTCCTTCAGTGTCAATGTCTGGGAGCCAGAAAACTATGTCAACGCCAGCTGCCATGGAGAAAGCAAAGACAAGGAGATCAGCAGCCAGAGGCTGCTGAGCCCCAGCGTGATGCTCAGCCTGAGAAGGGAAGTGTTCTCTGTGGGGCATGTGCTTGGAGAAAATGGGGTAATAGAGAGGTGCTGGGAGATGGGTTTTGCTTCAGTTAGGAAGCAATGTGGGTGATTCTTTATTGTGTCAGAAAATAAGTACTTGTACTACTGTTTTCTTAACATCAGACAAGCTGTATTATTAGGGTACTCATCGAAAATTCCTATTTCTGGGCCCCAGATATATTGAGTCAGCATGTTGAGAGTGGGGTCCAGGAATCTTATATAAAAAATTTTAAACAAGTTCCCTAAATAGAGGTGAATTTTTTTAAAAAAAGATATTTATTTATGCATACAAGAACTGGGGTACAGTCCAGATGTGTGGGGAGTGAGAGGATTCACCAGAGACAGAGCAGGGAACAGAACAGGCAGATTGACTGAAATACACTGCTGAGGGGAGCAGTGGGCGAGTCAGGAGAGGTCTGCTACGCCATGTGGGTTGCTCCCCGACCGGCGGGGGGAATCGAACTTGCGCTGCAGTGGCTTCAGAGAGCCTCACAGGTTGCGTCTTTACCCCTTGCGCCACCAGGGAGGCCCTAAATAGAGGTAAACTTAGTGTGAAATTAATGAAACTTGTAGTTTCAAGACCCATGGGACCTTTGAACATGATTTTGTGTTTTAATTTGCATTCTTTTATTTAAGTCCCCCAAAACTATAGAGCTTCAGCACTGACAACATGTACGGACATACGTAGGTACACATGTACACATATACTCCATCCTGCCTGCAAGTAACTCTGCTCATGATGAAGTTCACTCTTGAACACAGTTTAAAAACCTAAACCCCTTCCCTGGGGTTTCCTGGTAGGATTACAAGGTCACTGTGTCCCTGTGAGACCACAGCACTGGCTCAGCATGGCAAATTTAAATCTAGTTTCCCCACCAGCAGCGTACTTTACCTCTGAATACTAGAAATTGATGGATGCCTTCTCTGCCATGTCTACAAAAGTCATGTAGGCAAAGAGACAAGGTGTCCAATACTTGCAAAATTAAACAAGGTGTCTACTCTTGCAGAATTACAGCATTGAGAAAGGGCTCAAATATTAGTCAGGAGGGCACAGGTGCTGCCACTCCTTAACTCTGTGTCAATTGCACAGTACAGTATGATTCCCCTGCTGGGCATGGCCTCAGAATTGTTCTTATCACCATGTTTCAGGTACCCAGTGGCAACTTATTTGTCATCTCTGGTCTAGGTTAACATTTTCTATAATCCTGTTTCCGCTAATGAGTTCATGCAAGTTAGTATGATTTTATCGTATGGTATCTTTTTAAGTTCTTCCCTTCTATCAAGACTACTATCATTTCTATTGAACACTGGAAGAAATGGGCCTGAAGGGGACTAAAAAGTCTAGCCCAGATTTAGAGGTAACAGTGTAATAGCAACTCTGACTGAATTTCTCCCAGAACATAAGCTATGAAATGACACAGGAACTAGTAAAAATAATAAGAAGAAATTTTATATACTTGACCTCATGTGAGACTCACAAAAACCCTGGGAGGTAGACAAGGCAGGTATCTGTATTTTATCGATACTTAAACTGAGGCTCAGAGAGGTTGTGTGACTTTCCTAAGGTCACAAAGCTATTCAAAACAGAATTAAAATCTAGGTATTTTTTGGCCTCCCTGGTGGCGCAAGGGGTTAAGCACCACACTATGAAGCAATCCGCAGCCTCTGCAGCACAACTTCAATCCTGGCGGCCAGGGAGCTGACCCACATGGCGCAGCAGACCTCTCCTGTCTCGCCCACTGCTCCCCTCAGCAATGTACTTAGGTCAATCTGCCTGTTCTGTTCTCTACTGTCTCTGGTGAATCCTCTCACCACCCCCCCCCACCCGCCCACCGCATCTCTGGCCTGTACCCCAGCTCTTGTATGCATAAATAAATAAATCTTTGAAAAAAAATCTAGGTTTTTAAATTTCTATACTCTATTGACTTATTCATCTATCCCACAAGATTTCGCTGAAAAGCTTCCTTCTATGTGCCAAGTTCCGTACTTCCAAAAGGCTGTCTAGTTGGGAAGAGAAATCAAAGCCCAGAAAAAACTGTATGATGTTCAAAATAGTCAAAGAGCTATACAGCACATACCAAATCAGACAGGCATGGAGTCAAGCGTAGTGAGGGCAGAATGGGATAGAACCAGATCTCTCTACCTTTTGCAAACATAGGGGGATTATTTGGGCCTGACTCTAGGAATGAAGTAGAGTCCAAAGTAGCTGAATACCCAAGCCTTTTCTGTTCAAGGCATGTAGGTCAAGCAAGAGGTGCCTGGGTTCTTTGCTGGTTGGGTATAGGTTTTAACCAGTGGTAGGTTCTCATACATAAGTGCACTTTTCTCAGTGTAAGCACAATAACTTTTCCTAGAATTATTGAGTAGCAGGAATCAAATGATATGTACTTGGCATTTATGGGGTTTTGTGCTTAATTCCCTTTTTGCTGGTACGTGGAGAAATCTCCATTTGCATCCTTCTTTATCTTTCATATTTTAATCTCTAGGTTGGACAAGATGCTCCCAACTCATCAAGCCCAAAGGAAGCTGCAGGAATCATTGTTATCTACCAGACATACTTCTGAAAAGTCCTATCTGCCTCACACACTGACCGAAGGACACTACCCCTGTCTTCTCTCTGTGTTAACCAACATGGGCAGACTCTTGCCAATGTCACGCTCATATCTTCAGCAGGGACATTAATCACACAGTAATGCCAGACCCACGAAGGGGGCTCTTGGACTGAAAGATGGAAGTCACTGCTTAGTATGATTGGGGAGACACTGGAACAACTGAACTGAAAGCAGCGTTTATGTAAGAAAGGAAATGGCAGGAGGGAGAGGACAGGGTATTATCCTACTCCTTTTCCTCAGAATCTGAAACCATTCCATTTCATTTTGGCAAAATGTGCCCACTTCTAAGGAACTGTTTTCTTGGTTCACTAGTAAAACCATATACAAATCATATGCTTCTTTGTTTCACTTCAATTACTGGCCAAAAAAGTGGTTCTCAAGAGGATACTAACAGGGCGAGATACCTGACTCTAAGTCCTGATTTAATATTCAAGCCGAGCTTGAAAGAGAGGGAACAGATACAAAGTGTGGAGGATGACAGTTTTCAAAGAAGCCCTAGAGATCTTCTAGGCACCCTAAAGTAGTGCCCATAGCACACATTTGAAAACACAGCCTGGGGCCTCCCTGGTGGCACAGGGGTTAAAGACAGTGCTATCAAGCTATCACCAGGCACTGCAGCACGAGTTCGATTCCCCAGCCAGCCAGGAAGGTGACACACATGGCGCAGCAGACCTCTCCTATCTCATCTGCTGCTCCTCTTAGCAGTGTATTGCAATAGATCGGCCTGTTCTGCTCCCCACTCTGTCTCTGGTGAATCCTCTCATCCCCCACACCTCTGGCCTACACCCCAGCTCTTTTATGCATAAATAAATCTTAGGGCCTCCCCAGTGGCGCAGCGGTTGAGCGCTGGGTTGCAAAGCTGCCCGCGGCCTCTGCAGCGCCGGTTCGATCCCCGGCTGCTCCCCGGCCACTGGTGGAGGGTCCTGCATGGCGTGCAGACCTCTCCTGCCGCCCACTGCTCCCCTCAGCAGTGTACTTCGTCAGTCTGCCTGCTCTGCTCTCCCCTCTGGCTCTGGTGAATTCTCTCACCCTCTCGCGCTTCTGACTGTACCCAGTGCTTGTATAAATAAATAAAAATAAATCTTTAAAAAAAAAAAACCATGATCTTCAAAATAAATAAATAAATAAATCTTTAAAAAAGAAAGACAGAAAGAGAGAAAAACAGCCTATGGAGACAAGGGAAACCTCTGAGCCTCAGTGCCCCTCATCTGTGGAATGGCAATGATCACCTCTTCTTTGCAAGTTCATCATGTCCAAAGAAATAACCAGCATGGTTCAGAGTACAGAGTAGAAATGGAAGCCTCATAAAGATGATGGCAGTCTCAGCTGACCCATCCGCTGAGGGAGAGAATCCCATTGTGATATAATCCAGAAGAAATCCCACAAGTGGCTGGATGACTCAATCTGAGGGATCCAGCTGCCAAGTCAGGAGCCCACTCAAAAAGGCCTACAGAAAGGGGACTGTGGCCCAGAACTGAGGCCTCCTGCCCACAGCCATGCAAGCAAGCAGATCCCGCAGCTTCAGTCAAACCTTCAGATAAAACACATTGGATAACTGCAAGCTCGTGAGAGACCTCTACTCAGAACCACCCTCAAATCCCTGACCCACAGAAACTGTATAAAATAAATGCTAATTGTTGTTTAAAAAAACACAGTGGATGGAGAGGAGAGAATTCTGGGATATTTGGATAAATGAGTATATTATTTGCACCTGGCCAGCGGTTCGCACAACCGCCTCCAGTTTATCCTACCATTTGTGGCTCAGACTGACCATGAAATAAAGGGGTGGAGGGAAGCCGGTTCCTCCCCAAGACCATTGGGGAGGATGATAAAATCTTAGCAGCTCTTGGTATAGGACTGATGCCTCCATGCCTCCCCATCCTTCCTGCTTTCTCCAACACAGAATGCCCTTTAAGCCAGAAACAAGAGACTTCTCAGGCCCCGAAACCTACGGCAAGCTCTACACTCACTAACTCTTCCTCAGAGTATAATTTGGGTCACATTTATATTGACTTTATAGAAACTCACTGGTGAAATCAAAATTGTTTCCCCTGACAGAACAAGGTCCCTCTGAAGATTTTCTGGCTCTTTCATCAGTGAGACATCTTTTTTTTTTTAAACACATTTTTTTTTTTTTATTTATAGAGGCATGTTTTTATTTATTTATTTATTTGTTTGTTTTGTTTATACATGCACTGGGTACAGTCAGAAGCGCGGGAGGGCGAGAGAATTCACCAGAGCCAGAGCGGGGAGCAGAGCAGGCAGAAGGACCGAAGTACACTGCTGAGGGGAGCAGCGGGCGGCAGGAGAGGTCTGCGCGCCATGTGGGACCCTCCTCTGGTGGCCGGGGAGCAGCCGGGGATCGAACCGCTGCGCCGCAGAGGTCGCCGGCAGCTTCGCAACCCAGCGCTCAACCGCCGCGCCACCGGGGAGGCCCCATCAGTGAGACATCTTGAATCCTCTCTTCTCTTACTGGGGGAGGTTTTTAAAAACCCAGAGATAGAGAGAGCAGGAGTAGGGAGATCATCCCTGTGGGCTTGGATGTGAACTTAGGGCCACAGACCACTTCATAGCAGGGCAGCAAGGTATTTATTGCAAATTTTTTCTCATTAAGTTACCACACTTAGTTTTTTCTGATTGTTAAAGTACATTCTCATTCTAACAATTTTTAGATAATACTGGAAAGTAGAGAGGACAAAAGAAAAAATCATACCTAATCATTTCTCCCAGAGATAACTACTGTTAATACTTTGATACACACACACAAAGACACATGTTACACAAAAAGAACCAGTACACAAATAACATCATACTCTTCATACCATTTAAAACCTGTTCCTTTCTTTTTTGGCATATATATACATATATATGTATACCTATATATTTGGCTAATCTATTAAGACTATATTTCTAGTTTGTACAAGTATTAAGTTGTTTTTTTTTTTTCAAACCTTAGAGACAACAGGAAACCATTCTATCTTTAATAAGGGTCATCCCAGGGCCTCCCTGGTGGCTCAAGGGGTTAAGATGCAACCCATGAAGCTGTCCACAGTCACTACAGCACGAGTTCAATCCCCGGCGAGGGAGCTATCCACATGGTGCAGCAGACCTCTCCTGTCTCACCCACTGCTACCCTCAGCAGTGTATTTCAGCTAGTCTGCCTGTTCTGTTCCCCACTCTGTCTCTGGTGAATCCTTTCACCAGCCCCCTCCACACACACCTCTGGACTATACCCAGTTCTTGTATGCATAAATAGATAAATCTTTAAAAAAAAAAAAAGTGTAGGGAAAGGTAAAAAATCAGACTTTTCTGCCCTCCTGCCATCAGGATAGATAATGGATCCTTGCGGTCCTGAATGCATGCCTGATGGCGGGCACCTGGAGTAGGGTGTGGGCGTATGTAGATGGGATTCACCTGGGCTAAGACTGGGTTTTTAAGGGTGGTGTCACGGGGACACCAGTAGAAGCTGAGAGTAGAAGCCAAGAACGAACAGAAGCCAAGAGAGAGAGAACCATGAGAGAGCAGAGAAGCAAGGTCACGAGAAAACACTGGAGAGCCCAGGTAGAGTGAAGACTTGCTAGGGGCTGGGAGGCCTGCCAGCCTCCCGGCCCCCCAGCCCCCCTACCTGCCATGTACCCAGTAAATCTCAATAAAAGCCTGCAAAAGCCACTGAGGGCTCCAGGACTCCTCCTTTACCCCATCTGCTGGATCAGAAAACCTGCCCTGTGGCCCATTCCTGCCCCTACAAAGGGTCATCCCAATACTTATTGACAGGTCTAAAGACTAAGGTAGGCAGTGGCTTAGAGAGAAAAGCCACATTCACAGAAACCTCCAACTTAAACTTTTGATGGTATCACTGAATGGTACTGATATATCAAAAAATTGATATATTTACATAATTTTTTAAAGCATGCCTTCATTCAATGTAAATACTTAAAGTAGACACCACTTTCATATCCCCATTTTCCCATGTCTTCATGTTTTAGATACCCCTGGAATCTCAAAAATCAAAGTGCCCGAGGGCTCTGGGCCCAAGCAGGTCCAAGCAGGTCATCAGCATCCCCCTTTTCTGAAGCCAAGGCTAGAGCAAGAGCAAACCCCCAGAGAGGGTCTGGCCCCATACTTTCTCCCACCTACTGCTTGTTTTGGAGCTTGTTTAAGAATCTTCCCTGGAAGATTTCCACCTGGGGCACTTTTCCTGTGTTTATGTCCAGAAGTAGACATTTTCCAAGGATGAGTTGCTCTGTGGACTTTTCATGAGGGGCTGCTAGGCGCTGCCTTTGGGGTCTGGCACTGGACATGTTGATAGTTTAGGACCCCTACTCCCTTCCCACTCTGTTCTCAGCTCCTGCCTCTGCTTTCCCTCCACTGTCAGAAAGGTCTCCATTTTCTGGGCCTCCCTGGTGGTGCAGGGTCTCAGCGCTCTCAAGCTATCTCAGCACTATAAAGTCTCAGAGCTATCAAACTATTGCTAACCACTGCAGCACGAGCAATCACTCACCACGGAGCTGACCCACATGGCTCAGCAGATCTCTCCTGTCTCGTCTGCTGCTCCCCTCAGCAGTGTATTTCAGCCAATCTGCCTGTTCTGCTTCCTACTCTGTCTCTGGTGAATCCTCTCACTCACACACCTCTGGCCTGTATCCCAGTTCTTGTATGTATAAATAAAATAAATCTTTCAAAGAAAGAAAGAATGGGCTCTATTTCCCGAGTTTATACAGTGAATAGTCCTAGGCCTCCTTGAGCCTGTTTTATCTACATTTCCTAATTCCCCATGTGTCTGTTGTGCCTGTTAGTTTGTAAAACCTTTATAGTACTTTGTATCCAACAAAGCATCAGGTTCACAGCAGATAATCAATTTGCTGATGACATTATAGGCTTAGCTCAGGGCAGCACAGCTGACTTCCTAGAAGATAGGGAGATAGCCTTTATTTTTAAATCAAAGCTGCTGTGG